CACAGTCTCAGATTTATCTCTATCAGTGTTGAGACTAACTTGCAATTGAACATCTCATACTTGGGCAGTATGTCCTTCGCATACTTTTCTTGGCAAAAAATTAGTTTATTCTTCCTTCGGTCGACCTCCAATTTGAGGAAATGCTTGAGTTCCCCAAGCTCCTTCATTTGAAACCTGACCAAGAGATTTGTCCTCGTTCTCTGGATTTTTGCTTCATCGTCTCCAGTTAGGATTAAGACATCTACATAGACCAATACGAGACCAACACGATTGCTAGCCTATTGCCAGTCTGTTTGACAAATAAACTAGAATCGTCGAGAATAAGAGAGTATCCACTTTGAATTAAAGACTGACCAATCTTGCATCCAAGCTCTCGAAGCTTCCTTCAGTCCATAGAAAGATTTCTTTAGTTTGTAGTAATATCTTTCCTTCTCCTTGCTCTCAAATCCGATGGGTTGCTCTATGTAAATCTCTTGATCCACTTCATCATGTAGAAATGTGTTCTTCACATACATTTGCCAAAACTTTTAACTCTTGTTGGCTGCTAGAGCTAGAAGAACTCTAATTGTTGTTACCTTGACAACTAAATTGAATGTCTCTGTCACACCCCGGGCACACGGGCCCATTGGCGCGTGCAAGCCGTAAGACCCACCAAGAGCAACTCGATGTTAGCTAAAATTCACTGTCAAAATGTTAGCACTACTTGTTCTTAGGTCTTAGGCTTCTCTATTTAAGCCACTAATATTTCTTCACACTAGTCCATATGGGATTAAAATGGGGGTGTCATAATCACCCCCACCTTACACAAACGACGTCCCTGTTGTCACGACATGATAATTGACACATCCTAGTATCACTGTCTGACGATATGGACTCTAGAGATGACTCATACGGGCTCTAGAGGTTGCTTCCATCGCATCCATACGGTGTAGCACTTAGCCTTGTATAGCACTTACCTCCACAATTTCGGCTGGCAATTATTGTGATACCATTTGTCATGCCCCAGGCCAACGGGCCCTTTGACGCGTGCAAGCCGTGAGACCCACAGAGCAACTTGATGTTTGCTAATAAAATCCACTGTCAAAATACTAGCACTAGTTATTCTTGGATCTTAGGCTTATCTATTTAAATCACTAATATTTCTTCACACTCCATGTGGGACTAAAGTGTGGGTGTCACAGTCTCATAATAATCCAGTCCATACTGTTAAGAGAATCCTGGAGCCACCAAGCATGCTTTGTATCTCTCACTCGACTAAAGCTTGGCTCTGCTGTAAAGCTTGAATTTCTTCCTCCATTGCTCATTTCTATTTAGCAATTTCGTATGCTTCCTCAAAACTAGATAGCTCCTTCACATCTTTTATAATAGAAGCATTAGCATAGTTAGGATTTGGCTTTCTCAGTCTCGTTGATCTTTGAAGTTGTTCAATTGATTCTTCTTCGATATGCTCTATCTGTCTCGGGCGCTCTAGTGTTGTCTGATAAACACTAGTCTTTCATGATTTGTTCTTCTTTGAGGATATTGAAGAGCTTGATTCTACCTTCTCTAATTGATGTAATTCTTCTTCTTGACTTTGCTCCCTAACTTCTCTTGTTGTTGATCCTCCAGATCTTTATAATCTAGTAGCACAACTTCTTGTGAAGTCCACCAAGATGAGGCTTCGTCAAATACAACATTCCTTGATGTATAACATCGTTTGGTTGTGGGATCACAACATCTCCATCCCTTTCTTTCACTGTCATATCCCACAAAAATATATATTGCAGCCTTTTTATCGAACTTGCTCCGAAGGTGATCAAGCACTAAGAGATAACATACGCAACCGAAAACTCTGAAATAACTTACAGTTGGATTGATAATTCACAACTTTTGAAATGGTGATATGAACTACAATTTTGGTTGTGGTAGCCGATTGATCACATGTCCCTCAGTCTTCATACACTCAACCCAAAAACGTCCTGGTACGTTCTTGGCATGAAACATGCTTCTGCAAATTTTAGAGAGATGACGATTCTTTCTTTCAACTACGCTATTATGCTACAGAGTATTTGGGCATATTAGCTGTCGTCGAATCTTGTGCTGCTTCAAGTAGTCGTAAAATTCCTTCAATACGTACTCTCCCCTGTTGTCTATGCGTATGTAACAAATTTTCCTTCTGAGTTCTCCTTCGACTTCTTCTCGAAATTGCTTGAATTTAGAGAGTGCTTCAGACTTTTTCTTTTGGAAATAAACCCAGTCATACCTTGAGTAATCATCAATAAAGGTGATCATGTATCGCATGCCACTTATCGATTCTTGCTTCACTCGGTCGAATACATCTGAGTGCATGAGCTCCAAAGATTCCTTTGCTCTGAAATGTGACTCCTGGTATGATAATTGATGCGCCTTTTCATGCTGACAACCTTCACATATGTTCCCTCCTCGTATCTTTAAGTGTGGAATACCCTTTAACATTGACTTTTCCATCATAATCTTGAGCTTGTGATAGCTCACATGTTCAAGCCGACCATGCCACAGATCAGCCGTCTCATTCTTTCTAGTTTTATCTATATATGTCGATTTCGCCGACATCACATAGACAGATTCTACCTTACGTCCTTCCATGACAAGTTCTCCTGATGGCTTTAAATTTTTATAAACTTTTACATATTGTGGCCCAGATACGACATAGTCTTTAGAAGCTGTTAATTGAAAAACAGATAAAAGGTTCTTTTTATACCCTGTACATGGTATACATCTTCCAGTTGTATCCAATTCGGGTTGTAGCACGACGTAAATGCAATCTTTCTGATATGTGTGATAGGTAATCTTGAATTATTTGCTGTCACAACTTATCGGTCGCCTTTATACTCCTTCATGTTGATAAGCTTCCTCTTATTTCCCGTCATGTGTTTGGAACAGTTAGAATCGACGATCCAATCTTTATGATAGCTGATTTCTTCCCGATCTGAAATCGTTGTAAATACGGATTTAGATTCTTCTACAATTGAGGTTAGTGCCATACCAACAACCTCGTTTTCATCGGCTGATAAATCTTTAATAATGACTACGGATGCTTAGGCATCACATTCTTCTTCATCATCTTGACATCAATGTTATAGCATTGCCCTCTGCAGGTCTTCTCTTGTAGCGGTAGTCTCTGATGAAGTGTCCTTTCTTTCCATAGTTATAACAGCTACTGTCAGATTTTCTTGTTCGACGATCACCTTGCTCTTCATGTTGTTGTGTTCTGTCGGTGTATGGCCATCCTGGTTGTTTCCTTGAACCAGCCTTTTCATACCTCTCTTTTCTCGTGCCTCTTGGTTAACCTCTCTCATTGCTACTGAAAAATGCGTTATTTTTGCTTTTTACTGAAATGCTGATCATTTGTTTGGCTAGGGTTTCCTGTGTAGCGAGCAAGCTATCCATTTCTAATAATGTTGGTTGAGTCAGCCAGCTGTGTATAGCAGCAACGAGCCCGTGATATTCCGGTCTCAAATCGTGGATGATTAGTCTCATCATCCTTGCATGAGACACTTTTAGACTTTGGATCTAGTTGAGCGATATTTGAACAAAGTGATTTTATTTGCTTAAAGTACTAACTAGTTGTCAGATCATTCTGTTGCAATGTCATCAGTTGATTCTCCAAGAGTTGAAATCGAGCATCGTTCTTTTTCGAGAAGAGTATCGCGAGCGTATCCCATGCCTCCTTTGGAGAACTAGCATTTGGCACATAGTCTACAAGATATTTTTCTATTGTCATCTTCAGCACATACATAGCCTTGCCGGCTTTGATGTTCCACTTCCTTAGTGCTTTGCCAGCTTCCAGAGATGTTGTAGTTTCAGCACCCCCGATGACCTTCCAGAGATCTTATCATTGTAAATAGGACTTCATATACGTCTCCTAGTAGTTATAGTTATTACCGTTGAGTTTCTCGAGTATAGTAATTGTACTTAACTGATCTGCCATCGTGACGTGGTACTGCTTTAATATCTCCACGCAAATCTGGTCCTTAACCAACCAACTTCATAGTCTTGTACTGAACACGAACTTCGGCCTTCAAGGATGCCGATAGGATCACTGTAGGAGATAGCTGGTCATTGACCGTCTTGCTTCTTTCACGAGCTGCAACTTCTACTATTTCACATAAACAGTAACTGTACTTATAAACAGTAACCGTACTCTTGAATAGTAACTGTACTTGTGAAAAGTAACGTACTCGTAAATTGTGCTCAGTGCTTCAAAGTGTAAATGATAATCTAACTTATTTTCTGATGTGAAAGATCCACTTTTGGTGATAGTCACAGAGCATATGATAAGCAGATACACACACCCTAAGCCAGTCTCTGATACTACTTGTTGAGTTGAGAGGAGTGGTGAACACTAAAAAATATTTTGTTATTATTTTTTTAGTTGTATGAACACTTAATACTCTCAAATACAAATATTCCCTCTACTACAAAATTGTTTTACAACACTACTATTTCATTCTCTCTCTCTCTCTCTCTCTATTTCTTTCTCTTTCTCTCTTTCATTTTTCTTTGCTACTGGGATGATCTCAAACAAATACTTGGGGGCTATTTATTACATTGGTTTATGGGTAGGTAAATACTATTAGGGTTAGGTGATTACTGTAGCTAGGTTGGTGTGGGTAGATAAGTAAAGCTGCTGACTTTTAACACTATACTGCATTACCTGTCCAATTATAGTGGTATACTCACAAGTTATGGAGTGGACTTATAAGTTACAACTATTAGGCATGCAAATTTCTTGTGACATGTAATCATCATAATCAATCCATCACCATATAAATAGTTAACAGTTTGGTTGTTGGAATCAAGTACAAGCTCTGCGTCTTGTTGACCAAGAAGTAATCTTCGTTGAGTCGGGGATGAGGATAACCTTTGTTGACAAAAATATCTGTATTGGTTAAATAACCATGAATATCCTTTAATGGTTCATATTCTGTTTTCTTATAGTTTACTGTAAATTGTCTAACAACTTTCTTTTATTTATGCAGATTGAAAAAGTTGTCCTTTTCCTGTTGGAACAAGAAGGATATCTAGCAAGCAGAATTCGAGAATTGGGAAAGTGGCGCACTGCTCTTATGGAGCAGCCAGAGATATCACAGATCTGTGAACTTCGAGAAGCATATAGAGCTGTGGGACAAGATCTGTTGAAGCTTCTTAGGTTTGTTGATATGAATGCTACTGGAATTAGGAAAATTTTGAAGAAGTTCGATAAGCGATTTGGGTTTGGATTCACAGATTACTATGTGACAACTCGATCAAATCATCCTTATTCTCAGCTACAACAGGTTTTCAAGCATGTGGTAATATCTCTAGCGCTGCATCTTATAACTTCAGTTTCAGATAAATGAAAGGAATAGCATCTTATCATCTTATTTTTCTTTCATTTGTTATTATACTCATGATACTCTTTCTATGTGCTTACACTTAGGCTTTCTATGCCTACTGTGGGTAGAACATGAAAGACTTATTAAAAGGAATATTACAGAACATGAAAGTGATTTTTTAAATTTACAGGGAGTTGGGGCAGTTGTAGGTGCCTTATCTCGCAACCTTGCAGATCTTCAAGATCATCAAGGAAGCTATTTATCAATTTACGATCAGCCATCTGATGCTCTGCAGGTAGTTATTCTCCTCTCACTTCTGAGTTCAATCACTTGTTTCATAATTGTTCTGTTTAATTTTGATGCAGATTTGTTTTACTTAGTATATTTGTAATATCTATCTGTGATGGATACAGGATCCTGTCATTGATTCGATTAATGCATCGATTGACAGACTAACAAATTCAACAAATTTCCTTCAATTTTTGGGACAACATGCTCTTATTATGCAAGAAGATGTACCTAGTTCAGCGGAGGATCAAGTTGATAGTGAAAGATATCACTTTATGTCTCTTCTCTTGAACTTGGCAAACACATTTCTATACATGGTCAACACATACATCATTGTCCCAACTGCAGATGATTACTCAACGAGCCTTGGAGCTGCACCAACAGTTTGTGGTGTAATTATTGGGTCCATGGCTGTTGCACAAGTTTTCTCTTCAGTTTATTTCAGTGCATGGTCAAATAAGTCATACTTCAAACCACTTTTATTCAGCAGTATTATGCTCTTTCTAGGAAACACACTATATGCAGTGGCTTATGATTTTCGTTCAATTACAGTTCTTCTTGTTGGCCGTCTTTTATGTGGGTAAGTAGCTTGAACCTTTTATGAAGATGCAAATTTTTATGTGCTTATTACTGGAATAGTAAGACCGGTTCGAATACTTTCTGATTTGAGTAACATGGATTTTTATGTGAGATTGAGAAGTCATCTGCAGAGGCTACTAAATATATCTCATATTAGATAGACATAATCATTTGTTGGTATTTATATAGTATAAAACTGTCCAAAATCAATTTGATGTACACATACCATGCATCAATTCAATGATGAACTATGTAGAAACCAAAGTACATCCATGTCAAAGAACACGTAACAATTTTGAAAGACAAAGCAGAATCCTTCTATTTTATGTAAAGAAGCAGCACATCCATTTTTCTTTAAGATATTCTTACATATGCATGCCTTGTCTTATTGTAATCTTCTTACAATTTTATTTAGGCTTTCCAATCTTTTTATTTGTTCGACCCTCAAGGTTTATTGACGCCTTAAGAGTAGTACATTGTTATCTTCTTGTTGATATAGTGGAAAAATCCCTCAGTGCTTGTGGGCATAGTGCCAGGTTGTTATTTGACCATATTAATTTTGGGGTGTCAGATTGTGATTGGTTGTGTTGCTTATGACTTTCTGATCTTTCATTAATTATACACTATTGTTTCCGCAATTCAGTTAATCTACTATTATGCGAAACATTTCTTTCTTAAGGATTTATTTTTGGATGTTATGCAGCATTATCCGTAATTGATCTTCAACTTCACTGCAGGTTGGGTTCTGCAAGAGCAGTTAATCGTCGTTACATCAGTGATTGTGTGCCACTTAAGATTCGGATGCAGGCTTCTGCAGGTTTTGTTAGTGCCAGTGCTCTAGGGATGGCTTGTGGTCCTGCTCTTGCTGGCTTGCTGCGGATTAATTTTAAGATCTATTCCCTCACAATTAACCAAAATACATCACCAGGATGGATAATGGCACTAGCTTGGCTCATGTATCTACTCTGGTGTTGGAGTTCATTTAAAGAGCCAGCTCGTGACATTGAAGATGATGTGCCTCAGCATTCGGATCCTGGTCAGCTTCATTAATAGTTGTGAAACTTCTTATATAAATAAACTTATCATCTTAACAAAGAAACAAATTGTTCTACTTTCTTTTTCTTCATTCATATGAAATTTGTTAACTATTCTAAAAAAACCTATGCATTTGTGAGGCCAAGGGCTAGAAAAGGGGTATTATTATTATTATCGAGAAGGGTACCTCTGCCTTGGCTAGGATCTAGCGCATCTATTAGAAAATGAAGATTGAGATCGAAGCTTGAAGCAGATCTGCCTGTAGCTGATAGTTGAACCTTGACTAACGAAAAACTTCTCCGGTATTCAGATTATGCAAAACTATCTAGTGATAGGATTCACCCCAATAATAACGCCTCGAACGGAGACTTAATCACAAAATAAGGGCACAAAATTCAACACAGAGTACTCACAGATATACGTGGTTCACTCCTTCGGAGCTACTCCACGGTGCAACGACGACGCCAAATTCTTTTATATCCCAAAAGAATTGATCCAAGAGAACACCCTCTCTTGATCAGATACACTCCAAGAACTCTCACAAACTCTCTCTTTGTTTTCTCTTACTCTTCTATAAGAGGAGTTGTTTCTGGGATGAGTTTTCCTTAAGAGTTTAGGGCTCTATTTATAGTGTTTGGGAAACACTATGCACAAATAAAATATTAGTAGTGGGACCCGCCACCACTTGAAGATTTGATTGAATGTCGATCATATCTTCACACCACTCTTGGTTGCATCATCCGGATGTCATGTATCTTTGGCGTCTTGCACGGCCCTCAACATTCTCAACGGAGGCCATATGAGGCTGCACACAGCCTCACCTTCTCGAGCGGAACTGGCTTGGTCAGCATATCGGCTGGATTGTACCTCGTATCAATCTTCACAAGTTTGAACTCGTTCCTGCTTTGCCATCTCCGTATGGCATGGTGCTTTACGTCAACATGCTTGGTCCGAGCATGGAATGCGTCGTTCTCTGACAAGTGAATGGCACTCTGACTGTCGCAGTGGATGAAGTATTTCTCAAAGCTTACTCCAAGCTCGAGAAGAAAAGCCTTCAACCATAGCAACTCCTTTGCTGCCTCTGCTGCAGACACGTACTCGGCTTCGATTGTCGACAAAGCCACAGTATCCTGTAACTTAGATCTCCAACTTATCGCTCCACCACCCAAGATGAAGATGTAGCTGCTCGTGCTCCTTCTTGAATCTATATCCCCTGCGTAGTCTGCATCACAAAAGCCCTCTAGCTGCAAATCTGCCCCGCCATACTCAAGACAATGGTCGGACAAACTTCTCAAGTAGCGTAGAAGCCACTTGACCGCACCCCAGTGTTGCTTCCCTGGATTGCTCATGAAGCGGCTCACAACTCCTACTCCTTGTGCAATATCTGGCCTCGTGCACACCATCGCATACATCAAACTCCCGACGACAGATGCATATGGTATGTTTGCCATGAACTCGTGCTCTTCAGCAGTCTCTGGTGCTTGGGTCTTCGATAGCTTGAAATGACTTGCAAACGGCGAGCCCACCGGTTTAGCTTTCTCCATGCCAAACTTTTCAAGAATCTTCTCAATGTAGGCCTTCTGAGACAACCTCAGCCTCCGTGCTGATCTGTCTCTGATGATCCTCATCCCCAGAATCTGGTTTGCTGGACCCAAATCCTTCATCTCGAAGCACTCGGAGAGACGCCTCTTGAGTTCCTCAATGCGGGCCAAGTCGGACCCTGCAATCAACATGTCATCAACATAAATCAAGAGTATTACATAGGATTCGTCATATCTCTTGATAAAGCAGCAGTGGTCTGTGTCGCATTTGAGAAAACCGTTCTCCTCCATAAAGTTCTCGAACTTCATGTACCACTGTCGCGGAGCTTGCTTCAGGCCATACAAGCTCTTGCGTAGACGACACACGAGGCCCTCCCTGCCTCGTTCCTCGAAGCCCACTGGTTGATGCATATAGATCTCTTCCTCCAAATCTCCATGAAGCATCCATCTGTTCTAGGTGGAGATCTTGAACTGCTACAATGCTTAGCATAGTTCGGATCGGGGTCAACTTGACGACGGGAGCGAAAACGTCAGAATAATCAATCCCTGCTTTCTGTTCATAGCCCTTCACTACAAGCCTCGCCTTGTAGCGTCTCCGTCCATCGGCTTCATCCTTGACCCGATAAATCCACCGATTGTGAAGAGCTTTTCGCCCTCATGGAAGCTTTACAAGCTCCCAAGTCCCATTCTTCATCAATGACTTCATTTCTTCCTCCATGGCAGACTCCCACTCGCCGTGAGCTTTGCCGGTCTGCTGTACCTCCTCATAGCTCTCTGGCTCACCATTGTCAGTTAGGAGAAGGTAATTCATTGTGGAAAGGTACCTCTCTGGCATCCTTGGATTTCTTGGAGTTTTGCGAATTGCGATCGGCAACTCTGCTGGATCCTGTTGCTGTGCATCCCGCATGTTCTCTTGGTCTCCGTCTTCTATGCTGATTGGTATCTCACCGTCGTCCTCACAGTCAGCAATATCTGGGAAAAGAGGGGGAGATAGCTGACTCCCACTCACCTCTTTGGTCTTGTACACCACATTCTCATGGAATACGACGTCACGACTGCGCACCACCTTGCGCGCATCGTGATCCCAGAAACGGTACCCATACTCATCTCCTCCATAGCCGATGAAAGAGAGCTTCTTTGACTTTGGATCAAGCTTTGACCGGTCTGCAGGATTGGTCATGACATAGGCGTCACAACCAAATCCTCGTAAGTGCTCTAGCTTCAACTTCTTTCCGGTCCAAGCCTCTTCAGGTATCCCATAATTGAGAACCGCGGATGGCCCGCGGTTGATCAAGTATGCAGCAGTATTGACAGCTTCAGCCCAAAAGCTCTTGGGCAATCCGGAGTGGATCCTCATACTTCTGGCGCATTCCAAGATAGTGCGATTCATGCGCTCCGCCACTCCATTGTGCTGAGGTGTGCCTGGGACGGTCTTCAGTCTCCGAATCCCACGGGACGAGCAGAAGTTCTCGAACTCCTGGCTGCAATACTCGCCTCCATTATCAGACTTTAGGCACTTCAGCTTATTGCCTGTTTCGTTCTCCACACAGGCAAGCCACTTCTTGAAGATGATGAATACATCTGACTTGTGCTTCAAGAAGAACACCCATAGTTTTCTCGTAGCATCATCAATAAAAGTGACAAAGTAAAGAGAGTTACCAACAGATGGGACTTGCGCAGGTCCCCACACGTCGGTGTGCACCAACACCAATTTCTGCAGTTTTGGAGCCGGTCCGATCTTGTTGAAGCTCACCTTCTTTTGTTTGCCTAGGATGCAATCCTCACAGAAAGTCAGATCGATCTTGTTCAGACCCGGAAGCCTCTCTCCCGCGGCCATAATCTGCATCCCCTTCTCGCTCATGTGGCCAAGTCGTCGATTTCAAGTCATGCAGTCGACGGATGATGATGATGATGCTTGTCCTGCGGCAAGCAAGTGGCCGATCTTTCCGTTGGCGATGTAGAGAGACCCCTCGCGTTTGCCGTGTGCCACCACCAGGGCACCCTTGGACACCTTCCAGCTTCTCTGCTCGAAGGATACTCTATAACCGGAGTCAGTCAGTTGCCCGACTGATATAAGATTCCGCCTGAGATCCGGTACATGTCGAATGTCTTTCAGCGTCAAGGTGGTCCCGCCCTCCATCTTGAGGGTACAATTTCCCTTCCCGGAAACCTTACAAGGTTGATCGTCGCCAAGATAGACTGTTCCCAAGTCCTTCTTCACAAACGATGAAAGCAGCTTTTGATGTAAGGTTGCATGGAAAGATGCGCCAGAGTCGATGACCCACGCATCACTTTTGTCTTCTAGGGATAGGAAAAGTGCATCTGAATCCGTCTCGTGCATGAGATTGGCTGCACCGTCAGCCCGATCATCCCCTGCTGATGCTGGAATAGTAACTCTGCAGTCCCGTGCAAAGTGGCCATTCTTTCCGCATCTGAAGCACTTCCCTTCACCGTAACCATTCGGGTTAGGCCCTTTAGACTTCCCTCTGGATTTTGATTGGCCTCGTCGTTCCCTACCCTTCTTCTGCGTACGCCCTCGTGCCTCGACATGCAGAGCACTCCCACTGCTAGAGGCCTCAGCTCCTGAGACTTTGCGGCGAGATTCTTCATCCAGAATTGCCCCAACCACTGTGTCGAGCTTCATCTTGTCATTGCCATTAGCGTTGCTCACCGCCATCACCATATTCTCCCATGAATCTGGTAGACAAGAAAGTAGCATAAGAACTTGGATCTCGTTGTCGAACTTTAGATCTACTGCAGCAAGCTGTTGCACTACAGCCTGAAATTCGTTCAAGAAGTCCGCCACGCGAGCTCCTTGTTGCATCTTGAGATTGAATAGCTTCTTCATCAGGTATACCTTATTTGAAGCAGACGGCTTCTCATACAGCGCCTCCAAGGCCTCCATCAACTCCCTGGTGGTGGTCGCATGCGAGACGTTGTAAGTCACATGCTGATGAAGGTTGAGCCTGATGGTGGCAAGTGCTTTACGATCGAGCACCTTCCACTTATCGTCGTCCATCTTCTCAGGTTTCCCCGCCTCTCCTTGGAGGGGTAGGAAGAGATCCTTCTGGTACAAATAGTCTTCTATTTGCATCCTCCAATACCTGAAATTTTGGCCGCCGAACTTCTCAATTCGAAGCCTGTTGTCTTCAACTGTAGATCCCATGGCGAAAGATTACGTCTTTCCCGTATTTGTGAATAGTACAATATTCGTAAATAGTATCGTATTCGTGAATAGTACCGTATCCGTGAATAGTATCGTACTTGTGAATAGTGCCCAATGCCTTAAAAGAATAAATATTAATCTAACTTATTTTCTGATGTGGAGGATCCACTTTTAGTGGCAGCCACAGAGCATACGATAAGCAGATATATATACTCTAAGTCAGGCTCTGATACCAATTGATAGGATTCACCCCAATAATAACGCCTCGAACAGAGACTTAATCACAAAATAAGGGCACAAAATTCAACACAGAGTACTCACAGATATACGTGGTTCACTCCTTCGGAGCTACTCCACGGTGCAACGACGACGCCAAATTCTTTTATATCCCAAAAGAATTGATCCAAGAGAACACCCTCTCTTGATCAGATACACTCCAAGAACTCTCACAAACTCTCTCTTTGTTTTCTCTTACTCTTCTATAAGAGGAGTTGTTTCTGGGATGAGTTTTCCTTAAGAGTTTAGGGCTCTATTTATAGTGTTTGGGAAACACTATGCACAAATAAAATATTAGTAGTGGGACCCGCCACTAATAATAAATAATCGTGGGACCCGCCAACTTTTTCCATTTCTCAAATAAAACGGCCACCTAATTCATCTTTGTCAATTTAAGTGGCTTGGGCGGTTTCAATGTCAAAAAATATGGGCTGCTTTCGGCTAACAATCTCCCACTTGAAGATTTGATTGAGAATCAATCATATCTTTACACCCATCTTGGTTGCATCATCCGGATGTCATGTATCTTGGCGTCTTGCACGGCCTTCAACATTCTCAACCTCATCTTTGTCAATTTAAGTGGCTTGGGCGGTTTCAATGTCAAAAAATATGGGCTGCTTTCGGCTAACATCTAGAACTATTTGCTTTATTGTGATAGCATGGTCATGATTTAAGGATGGTGATTTAAACATGAACCTTTGAAAGAAATCCTCCACAAACTTTTTCTTAGTACAATCTAGCTAATATAGTTTTATACTGTTTGAATGAGGATGTGTGGTTTATTGAAGAATTTTGAGAAATATGAATTCTAAAAAGGTATTTTACCTTAAGTATCTGGTTAGTTCTCTGTCAGCTCCATATTCTGCCCTAAGTAATAGTATTACACAAGAGCAAGGAATTAATGCAAAATGTGATGGAAAGTAGTACTGCTGTTGCAATGATTTGTGTGGCATCTGTATGATGACTTGAACATTAGTTTACCGCTGCAGCTCTGCCATTGAATTAGCATATGGACTATGGATTCTACTAGAGTTGGATGATCATGATCCTTTTTCCTTTTAGTTATGAGTGCTCTTTTGTGGTGTATAAATGAACCATCAACAAAACTGACGATGATTACCATCTGAGGATATATTCAAGCTTATAAATTTGATGTAGATCCTATATAGTAGTTAGTTTCTTAATGCTTATTTTTCACTTTGATTGAAGTAGTATAAGGGTTCAAAACTTTTTATGAACAAACACACATATGAATAATGACTTCAACAGTAATGGTTTGACGGTTATTAAACTTGTCATGTATTTTTGACCAGAAGCACAAATGGATAGGGAAGAAGTGGTAAATGGTCTTACTCAACCTCTGCTTTTAAGTCCAAAGGAATATACTGATGAAGATGGAGATAGAGAATGTGATGATAGTGAAGAAGCTTCTGAAGACTCTTGCAGAGCTGCTAGTTCAATTGCTTCAGCTTATAGACTGCTTACACCGTCTGTAAAGGTTCGGTTATCTCGAATATTATTTACTATCTGGCATACAATATTTAACATGTTTACAGTACATAGAATATACGGAACTCAGACAGTCCTTGGTCTTTGCTGAAATGTTTGTAGGCTATTGATAAATTATTGAGTTTATAAAAATCACCATGTCCTTTTCTTTTATTCCTAAACCTTAGTCAATGTCTAGCATTTTTTTGATTTGGGAGCTAAGATCTGACATTTTGGCCTTGAGAAAAGGTATGCAGGTTACTTTAGATTGAAATACATACAGTTAAGCCACATAAATTACTGGTACATGAAAGGCAACTTATCTTTCAAAAATTTCCTTGCCAAAGATCCCATGAAAGGCTAATAACAGTTTGCAAACTAGAGAACAAAGTCGGATAAAGGTTTACTTGTCTCATTTCCATTACTTCCAATTACCAACTTAAGGGGAACAACAGTACACTTGCGACTCTTGCGGGATCCTCCAAGGACTAAGGTCGTTCATCTTTGGTCTCACCTTTCCATCTTTGCGTACGTGCTACATTATGGCATCACTTGCGCTCGTGGACCAACTGTATGAATGTTCCATAGTCTTCAATTCAGTTTAACAAAAAAACAAAGAACAAATGATTCTCACATATTTTTGCTTTCATTTTGGGAATATACAGTCACCATATATTCATATATGACCTTGCATATTTAAGTTGTGTTGCAAACATGCCCGTCTATTATCTGACAGTAAATAAAGCAACCGACATAGTGGTGAAATTTAATGAAGTATTGTAAATTGTAAGAATTAGTTAATGTGTTGTGATTATAGGAAACACGTTCCAACTTATTCATTCTAGTCTAGCAACCATATCCCTTTAACCCACCCTGGTAGATGAAGAACACCGTGTCTTATTGCTATTACTGTCCGTGTTGGATAAATTTCTGTTCCATATATGGTATCTTCTTCCTTGTAACCTTTGTATGAACACAGACAGAAGATACAACATGCCATGTTTGTTTTCCCCTGTTTATTCTTTGTCTATCTCTTCTTTCTTATGCAGTGGATTTTTTCCGTGCTCTCCTCTACTCCACTGGTTGCTTCCACCTTTTCCTCTACTATGTTTTACCTCTTTGCCTCTTTTTCCTCTTCTTGTCACCTTCATCACCTTAATTTGTCCTGGTTACAGCATTTTACTTTCTCTAAGGCTAATTTTTCAACATGTTATTCCCATCCTAATATGAAATGGGTTATTTTAGTTCAACGCTCAATTGTGCATACTTGTGTTCTTCTAAATGCTCAACTATCTGAATCTTAATAACTTATTCTTGTTTTGGTTACAGCATTTTATTTTCTCAAAGCTCAATTTTTCAACACCTGGATTCCTACTTCCCAGCATATTGGGTCATTTGGTTTCACACTAAGTTACCATTTGTCACTAACATTTAATGCCTTATGAAAAGAACAAAATCATCTTTTCACCAACTTTTTTCTCTCCCTCTTATGAGGTTTTGATCTTCAATTTATTTAACATTATGTTGCCTTGGCTTCCCTTCAAAAGCTTATTAGTACTTTTTGCCCCTCATTTCTGGGAGAATGGAGCACTTTTTATGGGGAGAATCCTTATACACATATACTTGATATAGATTCTTACCTTTTAAAATATGCTACTTTTATCAATGTGAATTAAAGTACTTTCTTATTCATTTTTTTTGGGTCAATTTCACAGGTCCAGCTTTTAATTTATTTCATGCTCAAATATGCGATGGAGATTTTGCTTTCAGAATCAAGTGTTGTCACCACACTATATTTTAAGTGGACTACTAGCTCAGTGGCTACTTTTCTTGCAATCCTTGGGCTGACAGTTCTTCCAGTAAATGCCATTGTTGGAACCTATATTAGCAACATGTTTGAAGACAGGTAACTGAGAATTCCCCCTCCCCCTCCCCCTCAACTTAGTGATTTTATGAATCATGCATATGCATATCATGGGTTGATATAATGTGTGGTCCGCTTCCTTCAGATTTATCATAAATGGAACGTGATCTGTACACTATTGTTGTCTTTTGTCCTAGATTTTTTTCTCGATGTTATTTGCTGCTTAGTACTCTTTTTTCATATGTAAATTATGACATACAACATAAGTACCCGAAACAGGTTCGTGCCTATTTGTGGAATTGTGCTGGGCATTGATATTCCTAAACAATCTTGGTTTGGGAGAAAGGAGAGTGTATATGGGTTGAGAGAGAGAATCGTCAGGAAGAGTGGGATATTGATAGGATTTAGGTGATTTCAGTGAGAAAGAATAGAGGTTGGAATACATCAAATTTGAAGCAGAACATTGTTAGCTTAGGATTCACTGATTATATATGCTTCTAATGAACCAAAAGTTTCTAGTGTTGAAACGGAAACTTAATAGGTACAACAGATATGGATCATTTTTCTTAAAAGCCTAAAAGAAACCATATCAGTTATTGAAGGTCTTGGTTTCAGTGGGATATTTTTATACAAGCTTGAGATTGGTAGCAAAGTGAAAATACCTCCAGATTAAGGAATGTTATGTGTATTTTGTGAAACAACATGCTATAGAATATCAGTACCATCATATAGTTGAAATGTTGAATCGTAGACTGAGTATCAGGTGATCCTTTATAAGTTCTTAGAATTGAAGCTAACTGTTTTTCTGATTTTTTAGCACTCTAAATTGTGCAGTTCCTTCCTATTCTGTCAACTCCTAACACTGTCTGGTGAGAATGGTACACTTAGTTGTAGATTATAGTTATCTGACTCATTTATCAGTTTTACGCATCAAAACTTTTTAGTTCATGCTTCTATCTCAAAATTGCCTCGCTCCAATAATCTCTCTACTATATGGATTTTCTTTTGTGAGTTTAGCTCTAATGAATGGCTTTTCGCAGGGAAATCCTGATTGTGTCCGAATTTGTGGTGTTAATAGGCCTTATCTTTAGCTTCCATATTACCAGAGAGTACTCTGTGCCCCAGTATGTCTGCTCAGCCCTTATCACATTTGTGGCTGCTGAAGTTCTTGAAGGTAATCAATCACTTTTATTTGGAGAAAGAAATTTCATAATAACTTAATTTGTGTGGTAGTGTTTAATTCTGCTATTCATACATTTTCTATGGAAGAAAGAAATTTCATAATAACTTAATTTGTGTGGTAGTGTTTAATTCTGCTATTCATACATTTTCTATGCTTTCCTCTGTTTAAATGTGAAAATAAACAATAGACTGCTTTCCAAAGGGGAAAAAACAAGAAGAAGAAAAAGATGAAAAAACCTTACGTCTTCTGTAGAAGACTACGGAAGAAAAAGCTACATACATATTATGTTCTTTTAGAAGTTTTGTATTATTGTTTACATTACTCTAGTAAATTGTATCGAAATTAAATAATACTTCTAAACTGTTTGCTTATGAAATATTTCCAGTCTTATCCATCTTACCTTGCACAAGCTAGCTTCTATGTCAGATTGTCAGAACACCATTCTATGAAATGGCTGCATATCAATCTACAAGCTCAGAGCTCAGGCTTTGAGTTTTTGAGTTATACTTGCATTATGCTGAGATTGATGTGATCATTATCCCCATTAAACTCCAGATATATGATTAAACTCAGGAGCTTTTGACTTGTTCTGTAACAGGATAGAATGTCATTATTCTTGAAGCTTGCCATCTCTCTGGCATGTTTCAGCTTGTTAGCAAGCTTGGTTACTTATTGAGTAAAATTATTTGTATGCAAACAAGCGTCCAATATTTTGGATGTGACGTTGTATGCCTCAAAATTATCGTTTCTTTTAACCGTCCAAAGGATTGGACCAACCCTGCCCTTCATTTTGTATTAGCTTTATTTACAACATGAAGCTTTGAATTTTTACGTTTGGTAAATTTCAGAAAAACCCTGTTAAGTTCGGGCAATTCTCAGATAGCCCCGTAACTTTCAAAATGTTACAAAAACTCCTTTAGGTTTTGGGGTTCTCAGAGAACCCCCTTCAACATTTTTCAATTCCTAATAGTGTTAACCAAAATTTTCACACGGGTGTATAAAGTTAAGCAGGGGATATTTTTGCCTGTGAAAATTGTCGTTCACGCTTTTTAGGGTTCTTTTTGAAAAATAATGAAAGTTTTGTGGCATTTTAAGAGTTAAAGGGGGTTATCTTTAAGAGTTAAAGGGGGTTATCTAAGAAACTCCTAACCCAGAGGGGATTTTCTGAAATTTACCCTTTTACATATTAGGAGAAAATTGTCATCTCTTATCCTTCAATTATAAGATATTTCTTCTGCGACTTCAGGTGTCAACCTCTCTCTCCTATCTCGAGTCATGTCATCGCGTCTTGCTCGTGGAACGTTCAATGGAGGGCTTCTTTCCACTGAAGCTGGAACCCTGGCACGAGTGATTGCTGACGGCACGATAACATTGGCTGGTTATATGGGGGGAGATCAACTCCTCAATGTCACCCTTCTTCCTGCTCTATTGATCTGTATAGCTTCTATTTCTGCAACCTTCTTCACATATAACAGTCTTTATTGACAGATAGATGATCTTTATCCTATTTTTTGGGATTGTACAGTAGATAGCATAGCTTATCGACATACATCTACTTAAAGATCATGTTTTCGATTATTATCTCTGTTCTTATGTGATGGGGATTAGGCACTAAAATATTTTTGCAAGATGAAAGGGAATGGTATTTCATCTTGTGGCAACCTGCATTTCTGAATGTTCGGTTCTTGATTTGTGGAAAATAAGGATTTTAGTGGATGTTTTAATTTTTCTCAAACTAGACAACCCAGGGAGTATATTGTGTCGGTTTCTTTTATAGCCATATATTTGTGATGGTAGGTGAGTTCTACTAGGTCTCTCATAGATTATAGATAAACTGATACTAATACCTAACATGATGTCACCTAACATATGGGAAGAGATTGAGAAAATAAACTCGAGTCTCCTTTTACATTTAAACAATGAAAATCATGAAATTACATTAGCTTGATTTGGATTTTAACTAAGATTATGTGTCATCTATATTGAATGGGATCTAATATGGTCTAGTAGGTGCTGATACAATGGAGATATTCTGATAGTTTTATGTTATTCGTATGCATATACCTTATGAGGACGAGTGTTTGGCACATATTTATTGTCAGATAAGAAAATTTATAAGAAGAAAATTCGATTGGATTGTACAGTTTGTATTTGTTTACGGCAACATTACGACAAAACACGCTTTGATCAGTTATCTTCGCTTCTTAAGTAATATTTCTATTTTTTTAAAGATGTCATATAATCTTGACCTGTAAACTTTTGCCACAATTCTTTTTGCAATACAATACCACCTGAGCGAGTCTAGAAGCAAACGGTTGCCCAGTGAAGCATACAAATTACAACTTATATGGAGATATAAAACCATACCGGTTTCTTTTATGGTAGACACAAGTATTTTGCCCATGCTCGTACATGTGAGTCTTACATATAGAATAAGTAATATGGAACGAGTAGTGAGAACTAAACCCGCATAATTAGCTTGGAAGGTCAGCGATCCTTTTTTTTCTTTTTTCAAAACCGTATTTTTTTTCTTTTTTCAAACATATATGAGTTGTTTGGTTTGTACGGCTTTTTTCTTTAGTCATATGAATGTGCCTCTAACTTTAGTTAAACAATATTTTTTAAACTGCTGCTTCTTCTTTTCTATTTTTATATATATATACTTTATTTTTTATGGATATATGCATACAAATGACTTATACCAATAATGTCTAGCATATAGATTATTAAAAATTAGATAATTTGAGCTAGATATTTTTTTTTTCATGTAGTTTGAAACTTAAAAGAAATCCAAATAAGGGATGGATGATTTTTTATTTGAAATTTTTAAATTCAGAATTAGATAATTCAATTACCAGCATCTCCTTTAGAATATTTCTCTTTATTTATAACATTCTAAGATAAAAAGGGAAAAGCAGAAAACCGACTTATCGAATGCGTGTGTAGATAGTTTTTATTTGAAAAGTATAAATTCAAAAGTAGATAGTTTAACCATCAAACTCTCTTTTGTAATATCCCTCTTTTTTTTATAATATTTTAAATACAAAATGATATAAAAAAAGTCGGCACTCTTTGTGTGATCAAAGCACCTGAAATATCTCTTCGATGTGGGAACTGTTGAGATTTTCTTAATCAGCAAGTTAATCTTATGTTGACATTTTATTATGAAAAAACTTTTGAGATGATTTATAAACTAAAGAGTATATTGAGTTAAACCTTGCAACATGAAACAATCAAATGAAACGTAGCAATTAGATGATATATAAGGCCTTCACATATTGATATAATATAAAACATTGTCATGCTTAAACTTCAATCTTGTGATGCTTGCATTAGAATTTCAACTTAATTAGAAAAATATATGTGAATTTAAAATATGTATAATCTTAAGAACCCTAATGTAATTCCTAGAATAATCTTAAGAACCCATTAGGATTTCAATCTAGTTATTAGAAAGAATTAGATAAAGCAATGAAAATTCGAGATAATATGTTGGTAAATAATATAAATAATTTGTTTATCTTATGCAGATCACATAGAATATTTTTAAAATAAAAAAGCTTTTAATGTTAAAGATCTTTTATATTTTTTATAGTGTCTTGCGTTTGTAAACGGTCAAAATGTATTTTTACTTAGGATGATGACCAGCTTGGATCCAAGAAATGAACGCCAATGAGCTAACACTTTGAATGGGCCCAAAGTTAAGCCCACAACAAGCTGAAGCGAGGGTTGCCTGATGACCGAAGCAAGCCTCGCCAAGCTTATCACATTGACTCAATTCCATTAAGTCAAACACGAGTCTTCCCCTACAACACGCCTCAGATCAAGTCGAAATGTGTCATCAGTTGATCAAATCACGAGTCGAATTCTGTGTTAAATTCAGACTCGTAAGCGAAGTTCGCCAACTAATAAACTCCGCCCATGTGGACCAAGTCATCCACTTCCGAAGAAGGTACGCCCATGTTCAAAGCTACCTTCGCCCACGTCTTTAGCGAGCTATGCCAAGTCTGCGAAGTCCACCCAAATGGTTGTTTTAGAGCTATTTTCTTAGGATAACAGCTCTTCACTAACTCTTACTTTAATGACCACTTAATCCACAACTAGGGAAATCATTAACTCTTTTTTTTAGCCTATAAAAGGAGAAGAGATTATTCATTTTAGGAAGAGGGGATTTGGAAGATTAGAATTCTGACTCAATTCCGGCTAGAGAGAAGTTCGGTAGAAGAGTCATCACATGCATCGCACTTGTGATCTTATTTGGAGACATTGCTAAGAGAAGTCTGAGCTAGCTTCCAAGCAATTCAATTCTTATCGACAATAAAAAATCCATTGTCTTGATCGGTGCGTCAATGGAGTACAAGGTCGACGGTCCACCGGTACATGGAAAAGAACTGAAGGAAAAAAATAAAAATTTCTTTGTTACATTGTAATTATTTCTATTGTAATTTGTGTTAGTTACAATATTAAAAGAACCTAAAACAGGATGGTGACTCCGCTAGGGACATCCTTCTCCTCCGACGAGAAAGTTGTGTCACACACCGACACTAAGACCCTCGGGTCTTTTGCTGAAATGCTGATCATTGAATTTGACCAAGTGAAGTTCAAGGAATCTATTTTCATGGACAAAATCTCTGCAATGACAAATGTATGTAGTTATCCTAGAATTTGTCATAGTGTGAATCTCAAGTCTAAAATGACCCCTGTGTGTGAAATGACCACCTTCGCCGAAAGCAGTTTGATTTATTATAAGGGGAGCCTCCTTTTTCCGAAGGTTTAAGACTTCGGAGGTGAGAGAGGGTGACAATCAACGGGCAACTAGCAATGTCGCCTCTGACAATGATGTAGTCGTAGTATGATCTTGGCGGTACTTCTACTGCGTTTTGCATAAAGTTGTAGATTGTAAAGGATGCGGAATGAATATGCGAATAGAAGAATTTAGTCAAAGATTAAATGATAAATATAACTAGAAAATTAAGAAAAATTACGTCCAGACTCAATAATTAAAATTCTCATGTCATCTTGTTACAATATAGATATAACACTTAACTGTAAAACCCCGTAAATTTGAATTAATATATGATAATTTAAAATAATATGCGATTAATTGAGATAAGTAGATATTTATCTTGATAAATATCATTAAATGGTGTATGAGTATGATAGCAAGTATTTTGAGTGCAAACAAGTCCGTATATGTGAAAGAATCGAGTCGAAAATATGCACAAAGGCAAAACCTGCACAACTGGAAAATTGCGTGCCGGTCGACCGCCGAACAAGTCGTAGTTGACCGCCTGACAGGTTTCTAGTTTTTTCTGTATTGAGTTGGTTTTGGGTTTTATGAGGCCCAGGTCCACTTGCATGATATATATACCTCTTGAACATGAATTTTCACATCTTATTTTAGAGTTTTAAAACCCTAGCAGCCACCAAATACTCTTTTAAACCCTAGATCTTATTTTGTGAGAGTTCAAGAGCTTTTAAGTGGGATTACGATTTGGTTTTGACGTGTGGCTTAGTAATCTGTCTTGGCTTTGCATCCTTCACGTTTTCAGCAGAGATTCTAGGCGAGTTTTATCTCTTTCAACCCTACATGCAATTTTAAATGGTTTTAACAAGTTTTGTTTTGGTTTCATGAGCCTAATCCACTATTTTGTGTATAAAGAGAATTTCTTTCATAGTATCTGATATAAGGTTTAATATTTTGTTTATAAAAGATCACTAATGAATTTTCTATGAATATTATGGATTAGAAAAAGTTTTAAACATGAGTTTAAACTATGATATGGTGTTTTCATAACGTTTTGATGAATGTGAGCATGTTTAGGGTTTAATTAACATATCTAAAATGTTAGGTTTTATTTTATGTGTTAGATAATCATCAGAGGTGTTATTTTAGTATTTAAAATATTTTATACATGTTTTACAGCAAGTTAATCGAGTTAGAATCACGAAACACGCACGCAAACACAAACTGTAGAGACTGTAGTCACCAGGCTTCTGGCTGGTCGACCACGGCCTAAGGGCCGGTCGACCGCCCAGTGTGCATAACCCTATGCATGTTTTGACTCAAATTGTTATTTACCAAGAGATTATTCTTAATTGACCTGTATTGTTCTAAGATGTTTATAATCAGTTTAACACCTGAAATATTTGTGAACATGAAATATTGATCCGCACATCGAGATACATGCACGAAAACTTGAATTATGTTCCTAGTTGAGTTTATATCCATAATTGAGGTGCACAACATATATCTAAATTCATAGATGTTGGTATAACACATGATCATGTATTAATTCATCAAATGTTGATGTACGATGTGAATATTTCCCCACAATGAGACCGCAACTGTACCACACTAGGAGTATTGGATGTTTTCCGTAATGAGACCGCGTCTGTACCAATACTCGAAGATGATCGAGATTTTTTTGGATTGAGCTTATATGCCTATACTTTGCTATACGATAGGAAGATATACCTATTGCCGCAGAACAATTGAGTAAGGACGTTGAATCTAAACGATATTGTGAGAACCTTACAAGAGTATCATTATATATATATATATATATATATATATATATATACATATATATATATATATATATATTTTTGTAGTTTTCTCCCATGTTAGATCACCTGAGAGTAGGGTACACATCAGACACTTGGC